GGTGGCATGGTTTTCCTTCCAGCCGGCCTGAAACACACACATGGAGAGTGTGGTGAATGCACTGCACTGCAAACAGCAATACAACACAAAAGCAGAGGAGGCCTGGAGTGGCATTGCACGGTGAACAGCCACAAACCAAAATAGATCCACACCCACAGATACCGAATGGAAAACAGAACAAGCTTTGTTCACTAACAACCACAAACTGATTTATGTCAAGCATATGACTGCCACCTTTGGTAAAAGGAGTTTAAAATGTTAGCAACCCATTGATTCTCTGCAACATGACATAATAGTAACCATTAAATGAGATGAGGTTGTGTCAAGCTCTGGAAATAGAAGATAATATTGTTGAAATTCATGCCCACATTTGAGCTGGATGGTGCTGTTTGAAAAGAAGTCTAATTTCAAACATAAAAAGCATCCAAAAATACACTCTGTCCTCTGTGATGGCGATTTACTCCCACAGGAGAGGATGTGGGAGTGTAACTGCTCTTGGACTTGTCTCCAGCGGGGTCAAGTACCTTACTGCTACAGCTTCATGCTTAATCTAAGGATGACCTGCAAGCTTACCACTTCCGCTATTAGGAGGGGCGGGCTAGAGACACACAGAGACAGAGATGTAGAGTAAGAGAGAGGAAACTTGAAGCTTCAGTATCAACATGTGTGCTCTGAATCAGGGCAGTGGGTAGATCTGGATTAGCTTGGGATATCATTCCAAAGCCTTGATTTCAGTGGAATTTCTAGGAAAGCGCAGAGTGTTACATGAATGACGTTAGGTAAATATTAGACAGTCAGACTAGCAACATCACTGCAGCAAAGCTGTGGGTGGAAACACATTCACAGGGGTAGTAGCAAAGTAATAACCCAGACAGAGGCCCTTGTGTAGGCCAGCAGAAATGTAAGGCTTAGCTTGCACTCAATAATTCAGACTACAGAATATTTCTATTTTCTTCTCACCCAACCTCCTCTCCCTCTACATCAACAATTTATTGCCTCTGTAACTGTGCAATCAGAGTAGGCCCATTCAGTCCAACCTTGTCCTTTCATCATAATCCTCAGCGCACAAAGCGGGCAGAAACAACAAAGGAAAAGGCAATGAAGGCAAAGAGAGGAAGAGCAGGAGGAAGAGGAGTTGAGGACAGACTTTACAACGAGGGGGAAAGCACTTCAGACTGCAGCAGCTGGATGTTTTTTTTTGTCAGGGAGGAGAATCAGATGTTGGATCATTTGACTGATGTTACACATGAGACTATATGATGGGATACAGGATGCAATAATCTGGACTTGAATACTGCAAGGTGAATGACTGAAAGAAGTAGCATCACATGAATGACAGCATCCAATCATAACATGTTATCATGACTCCAGTCCTCCAGCAACAGAATAAAAATTACTCAATAATAAGTGCTGGCGTAGTGAGCTCAAAATGGTCCTTTGGAGGACAGTTATTTTGCTCTTACACAGTTTTAAATATTAACACTAAGCCTACACTAAGACTGTACTTTAGTTAATTGGAAAAAAAAAACTCTTCAAATTCATCTACCGTAACAAAATGGGGTGGGTTAAGAAGGGAGTGCTGAAAGTACACTAAATATATTACAATAAAAGTACTCATATAAAGGTTCTTTGTTTAAAATAGCCTACTATTTGAGAAAGGGGAAGTAGTATCTCTTAAACATAAGCTCTGCTTATCTATCAGAAGGGTTATATTAGTATCATTATACAAAAAATGTATTTACCTAATATAGGTTAAGTAGCCAAAGTGAAACTGTAAGAAGATCATTTTTAACAGAGTGGTCAAAAGTGTAATTTAATACCTAAATCCTAGTGAGCTAAATATTTTTAATTGGTTGGACAAGACAAAACCTCTAATCAGCTGATAAAATAAAAGTAATTTATTTTACACCATTAAATGTATGTTGCCCCAGCTATATTTTTCAACTCACTCTCACTCCCAGCACATGTTTAATTATTCAAACATTTCCCATTTTCTTTGTTGCATGTATGATATGAATTAGAATGCCCAGGCATTAAGGATGGCAAACAAAGAGTGTAAAATATTTTACTATATCATTATATCGTTTCTTTTCAATTATCATGAAGAGACTGTAATATTGTCGTTTCTGGTCTTGTGCTCTAAAAAGCTGCAGCAAAGTACCCTGAAATTGAACTTTTAAGAGTATTATAAAACAAGAAATGTGTAATTAACTAGTCATTACAGGTACCTTTTGACTTGTACTATGCTTTATAACATTTGCCTCAGTATTTATCTCCTAAACCTCCCACCAGCAACTACTACTAAAGATAAAGTAATTTTCTACTTTCCAGCACTGGGATTTTGGAATTTGGTCATGCAAGCAAAAAAGACTTTACAAAGAAAGCAAACTATTCTATATGTCTTTAAGCATTAAGGGCATGGGACAAAGTAAGCAGACATATTGTGTTGAGAGTCATAGTGTTGTTTGTAGACAGCTTAGGAGAGCCAAGAGATTTCTAATACACACCAGCCACTGAAGCAGCTCGGGGACTTCAGGGGTTCATGTGGGTACTTAAGATTGTATTTTATTGGGCATGAAAAGCTCAGAGAGAGATGTGTGCCAGGTCATAAAACAAGCCAATAGATTAGTGGTGAGGATAGCTTTGCTGACATAAACCCCCTGAAATGACTGCAGTGATTCACATGTTTTTGGCTGGATGTGTGTATAAAAACCGTGTTAGTTTGTATGCTGGGCCGTAATGCTCATAGTATCGTATGACAAATAATTATCATATGAATTATGATAATTTTCTTATAGCGAACTCACATAAAAATTAAAAAAAATCTCATGATGAAGAGGGCTTATCAACTTTCAGCACATATTGGCCAATGATAATGCGTGTATGGTGCAAAGGGCGGAGTAGACGATGATTGGCGGACTCCTTGACCAATCTAGACACTGTACTTTCAAAAAAAAGCGACGTCACAGGCGATAATAAATCTCTCCGCCTCCATCTCAACGCCCGAGACTTTTCTCAACACAAAAGCAAAATGTCCGCTGGATGGTCGGAGGCAGTGCAGCTCCGGGTCTGTGGGTATTTGGAGCAAAAAATAGCCGTTTTTCGCCACCGGGACGTCGCCCAACACTGACTACAAACCAGAAGGACAATAAAGTCTCACTGACAGAAAAATACGTCCGTCTTGTGAAATGTAAAAATGTTATCAGTTGCTAATTACCTTCACTCCGTATGGTGGATCATCGAATGTAACTAGCATGTACCTGTCGCCTCTACTAGCCGGGTCTCGGGCACGCAGCTGTCAAAAAAGAAAACCAAAACAACATATATTAATTTCGACCAGTCTTGCCCAAGGAACCCTAAGCTCTCCAAAGGTGCATACTTGCTGAAAAAAGTCGGGGTAAAATCATTCTTTACCTTCATAAAGACCTCAACCGCGCCTTTAGCAACGTCCAGATACGTCGTACCCAAATAAGTGCGCTGATTCATAGAGGCGGACGTGTCTAACAGGAAAAGTAAAATAGGCATTTTAAATGTAAAGCCGCGAATGTATGCTTTTCTAAAATAACTGTTATCCACATATGACCTATCGTGCGGCCAAACTGTTCACACATGTGTGTATATTTGTTATAATAAGCCCCCCCTCCAGAAGAGGGCCGTTGCCTCTGCTCCCTCTCTATCTGCCTTTCTAGAGCTCTGTCTCAGCTCGCGCTGTTCAACTTCTGCTCCTAACCGAGTGGAACGCCCCGCTCCCTCCACTGCGACGCCATTGGCTGAGTCCGACTCCACTGACCACGCCCCCTTCCATATATAAATATATATAACGAGGTCGAGAAGATGTCTCGTGTATACATCATCAGTTTACCGTGTCAGTTTTATGTTTGCTTAATGGACGGATGTTCACAAGTATGGTCATGGCTCTGCTATGTGTATGTATGATCATTATCATAAAGTAACATATATGCCTGCTTTGACATCAAACAACTGATAGATGTAGCTGAATATATCATATTCAAAGACCTGAAATTTCTTGAAATTTCTTGCCAATTCCCGCCCCTCTCTTACACACACACACACACACGAAAAAAAACTGTCTTTCTCTCTCTCTTGCTGCGTTCAAGGCGTCGCAAAAGGGCCGCCCTCCCGACTCTGAAACACAACATAACAAGAACACGTGCAGTTACATAGCCAAACCAGTAAACACAGACATATTTAAATTGGACATTGTATAAGGTTAAGTCTATGAATCAAGTGTCATATTTACGGTATATGCATTTTATGTTGCAATGGCACAATCAAGAGGAAATACGCATTTAGGTTAGAAACAAAAACTGAGTATAGATAGAACAAACGCAAATATAAATATCCATACAACCAAAATGACATTATACTAAAAATATAACAGGGGAAAGGACCGTAAAATCATATAAAGTACCTCTTGCATGTGATCTCGTAGCATTAATAGAGTAGCCTTGAGAGCAGCATCCATGTTACATTAAAGAGTATTCTTGATGTGTCCTTTTAACACTTAATCAAACACTTTACCAGTAGCTCACGCCTAACAACAAACTTATAGTTATTACAAGCTCAGTGTTTATGTGTAAAGATTGTGTGTGGGGGGGCTACCTCATAGACATAAAGGTCAGTGGAAAGTCATAGTATGTTTCTCTGATTACTACATTGTATGTCCTGTATAAAAAAACAATTTACCATTGCACTTGTCATTTTAAAAAATCAACGCACATAAATCTATTAATCATATTTTAAAAAAGCTATATTTGACCATTTAGAGCCACTTTATATGATTATCAGGATTTAGCAATTTAGTGCAGTTAATACCTCAAAGTGTTCCGCAAGTATAACTTAATTTGCGTGGTTTATGGCGTGTATACACACTCATCATTTGCATACTTTGGACAGGGAAGGTTATTAGTTATAAACAGTTGCTGGGAACATCTTTACGTCGGCTTTGTTGACGTCTTGCACGTTCTCTTTCGCCCTCCGCCATCCCGGCATGCACTGCGAGGTCTGCGGTATATTATTGACAAAGGAAAAAGGCTAGAGAGAGAAACAACAACAGGGTGGGATCAGAGGCACTAACCCTTGTGATAGCAGTAACGTTATAAGAACCTGTGTGCTGACAGCAAGGTAAAGCTTTACTCTCAGTTTGTCCCTAAAATAAAACAGAGTCTGTGTTTCATTTTCTGTAAAGACACTGCGCGTAGACAGCGTTAAGTGGCTATCCGCTAACATCTGGGCTTTTTTTTTTCTAGTCGGCTAACGCTAGCCAACGTTAACACTACTAAACAACGTTAGCATTAACGATATTGTTATTATATATGTCGGTGACACAGAAAGCAAATGCCGTGCAGGGTTCATGTGAGCCATAGGTATGGTAGAATTTATCTAAATTACAGTGTCGCTAATTTTATAACCAACTTGTTTTGTTTACCATGTCACCATAGACGTAAAAACAGCTTGTCACCCACGATTACTCTGCAGTTTAAAGAAGGCAGTTACGTTTTATGCTGACACATAATCTAAATGCGAATATAAAGTTGGCTGGATAGCTTAAACATGAAGCAAAGTGTCCACATCAAACAGTTAACAGTTAAAAAACAGTTCACTAAAGCCTTGCTGCTGCAAATTTAACGAGTTGATCGTGGATTTTCATGTGCATGTTGAGAACAAAAAAATGTGTCCCTCGAGCTCCACCGTAACCATGTAAACACACAGAGGCACGTGACCAGCCACATGGAGTCCGCTTACTGAATTCATGGCTGGCCTCCTCTTAGAGCCCTGCTCTGCCTTGATCTCTTGAAGTGAGCTTGTTTGGCTAAAAAGAAGCGTCCTAACACTTTACCTGAAAAGCTGTACACGAGGGTGTCATATACTGTTCATATTGACAATAACCTTCAGGAAGTTTATTTGTGATATTGCGTTATATAAATACAATTGACTTGAAGGATTAGACCCCCATTAAAATCCAGCATTTAAAGTTACATTATAGTATTAATTAATTAAGTATTGTTATTAAAATGGTCCCTTACAGAGTTAATTCCATTAAGGTTTATCTTGTTTAAGCAGTATTTTAATATATATTGTGTAACTTCTTCATTTCCTTTTTTAATAGTTTAAACCAGAGCTAGACCAATAGATCAGCCTTGTTGATATATCAGCGGATAGCAACTTATTACAGATATATACAGAGTATCAGTATATAGATGCGGGTCATTAAGAAATGGCGGTTTTGAAATGCCAAAGACATATTAGAGGTGGTTTGAAAACAATGTTGGCATTAGATAAGTTTATCATTATTTGCTAACATTAAAAAAAAAAAAAAAGAAAAAATCGATATATATCGATATTGGCCTGAAAAAATCCAGTATCAGTTGGGCTGTAGCTAAGAATCTGGAATGGCATCATAACAGTAAAGACAAAAACAACAGCTGTTGGATACATAAAACAGTAATAATGCAATATTTCATTCTGCAATGTAGTGGGAAAAAATTGAAAGTGTGACAAAATGTGAATAAGTGTTTTACTGGTGCCTCTTGAGTAAATGTATTTTACTCTTCATGCCCTGTGTCTCTTCACAGTACCATGTCCTGGCCCTGAGGCGATGAGCGGGAAGTGCCATTTCCACCTGAAGGGAGCTTACACAGCTTGATAGTTTGTGGAGAGAGAGGTGGGGGGCCCAGACAGACCGTGGACGGGGAAGGGGAAGAGCTCAGCTGAAGCCAATGCAGCAGCAGCAGCATCGACAGCCTGAGCTGGTGGAAGGAAGCCTTCCCGTGTTCGTGTTCCCCACTGAGCTCGTCTTCTACGCAGATGAGCAGACGTCTCACAAGCAGGTGCTCACCCTCTACAACCCCTATGAGTTCGCCCTCAAGTTTAAAGGTCAGTTGGCACAGTCTGCTTGAGTTTCCATGTATGCTGTATTATTTTTGTTATGTCCTCCGGATTATCTGCATAATCGGTGTATTCTTGTCTTTTTATCAGTGCTGTGTACAGCGCCAAACAAGTACACTGTGGTGGATGCCACCGGAGCTGTTAAACCACAGTGTTGTGTTGACATGTAAGTTTGTTTTTGTGTATAGGACATTATTATTTTTTCATGCAGTAGTATAGCACTAAAGGGACTAAATATCTTATCTATGAGCTTGTTGTTCTCTGTGGATTTCCGTCCATGTCTTTATTGTTTATTGCTTACTTAGGTTTGTTGGGCAGTTTTACTGCGTGCTTTGAGTCACATGATTGTTTATACAGCAGACTTCCCCATCTGACCAAGTAAGGAGTCTATCTAACTTTCGTATGTCCACACAGAGTAATCAGACACAGAGACGTGCGGGCATGCCATTATGGGGTGTACGACAAGTTCCGACTGCAGGTGTCGGAGCAGAGTCAGCGGAAAGCTCTGGGTCGCAAAGAGGTGACTGCTACCCTCCGTCCCTCAGCCTCACAGGAGCCGCCCAGCCCCCGGCCCCAAGATGAGGAACGCAGAATCAAAGAGCAGTTCGCAGAGAGCGAGTTTTTTGAACAAACTGCATTTCAGACAGGTAGGACGAAGGTGTGTTGTGCGTTGTTACCACTAGATGGAGCCAAATGCTCATAAACTCAAATATGGGAACTTTCATACCATTTATAGGACATGGTATGTTACACTGCCTTTTATGGCCTATGAACATTCTATCTGCCTAACTGTCTTATCTAGTATGAAAAAACTATTTGTCTCACAAACATAGTAGGACAATAATAACATAAAAATGTACAGGTTGTAATCATCTCTTCATACACAGCAGCAAGATAGATAGGTACGTGTATACTGTGTGTGTTTGCTCACTGATTCCGCATTTACCTGCTTCCTGTTCAGATTATTGCATACATGGTTGATAAAACAAAACACAATTTTTATGCACTCAGATCAGTAGGAAAACTATCAGGTAATCACTCTCAGGCTGTCATTTAAAAGTGGAAGTACAAGCCAAAGCCTCATTGCATACAAGATCAAATTTATCTTAATTATTATGTGTATGCCACATTTACCAACATACTAATTCTGAAGTGGGGGGGTATTCACTATTCACATGTATAAACACCTTCGATTATGGTTGTTCAAAGTGCATAGTTATCATTTCATGTGCTTCAGTGTCATAAACCCTGTCTGATCTTGTTCAGCTGCAACATTCTTTGAGCTCTAACTTCTTCCCTCTGACTTACACGCAAGCTAAATAATAATTCTTTGCCATAACATTTGTTTGTTAAATGATGGGAGAGTTACATAGTTTTGGTCTTACATCTTACATCTGTTAAAGGTGGGGTATGCGATACGAATCCAATACACGTCTTTATTTATTTTTTTAATTCTCCTCACGGCCCGCCAGCTGTCTGTTCTGTGTGAATGCTAAAAAATAATACTGGTGTTTGTACACAGCCCTGCCTCTGTAAAGGGGAAATAAACAAAGTGGCACGCAACCCGCCACACAACACTATTCCAGCCATGATTGTGTCAGGAAACGTTAAATGACTTGCCAACTCACATTCAGCTTACTTTCTAGTTCGCCAAGACATGTTGTTGTTGTGATAGTAGCTATAGTAGCAGGAGAGTTGTGAGTATCGCTGTTTGGAGCTGATGTGCTGAATCTGGTACCATCGTCTTTCACTTCACAGCAGCAACTTTAGCGACAGTTTTCTAACCCATAACTTAGTTAACGTTAGTTACATTACTGCTGTGTTGTTACTCACTCTGTGTCTTTTGTCCTGAATTGCCTACCCCACCTTTAAATCACTTGTTATTATTGTTGTTTTGCAGTGTTATACATCTTATTAGTGTGTGTGTGTGTGTGTGTGTGTGTGTGTGTGTGTGTGTGTGTGTGACAGAGAGCCGTCCTGTTGCTGGAGGCCCCAGTCTGCTGACGGTGCTGCTTGGGCTGGTGTGTATGGCTGCCCTGATGCTCCCGACTCTGGGGGAGCAAGAATCTACTGTGCCTGTCTACCTCCACTTAAGTGTTAACAAGAAACTTGTAGCTGCTTATGTTCTCGGTAGGTAGAAAAAGGAATCACACAAACTTAATGCAAATCATTTTTAAATGTGAACTACTCAGCTTTTTATAAAATCCCCATAATGAAAGAGTAAATGCTGAAGTATACAATATCCTGTTGCTTGTTTCAGGTCTTCTTACAATGGTCATCTTACGCACATGAAGTGCCGTGAGCTGAGAGGAGGAGGAGGGAAAACGAAAAAAGACGAGGGGAACCTTCTCGCACCACAGACACTACTACGAGTCAATGAGTACAAGTGACAGCAGGGGGGACGGGGTAATTGGTCAGATCACTCCGTCCTCTGGTAGAAATACATTTTAGTAGACTTGTTTTTCAAATCCACGTGTTAAAACATAGTTTGACACAATACTGAACTGATGCAAACAGCGGAGACCTCCAGTGTGTAGGCCAAAGGATTGGTGGTGTGAGAGGAGCTGTCCCTGAGCAGGGCCTGTGAAGAAACATGAGGCCATTTATAGGTGTGGTCTGGCCTCATATTGCCCGTGTCTGTATTTCTATTGCCATTATGTTACAGAATGTGGTTAACGTAAGTAGGAAGGAAATCTACATGCAAACATGTATATAAAGCCATTCAAATGTTATGGTATTCACCTGTAACCATCATTATATTGATGTTTTAAAGCATTTTTAGAGTAGACTCTGGGGACTAAATGAAGTTATTTGCAGATACCTTATCTGAATGGCTTCTTATTTTTATTCCAGCCCTAAGATACTTTTACATGTCACCAAAGGAAACATTTTCTTTGGAAGACGATGCTTTGTTCACCGTACTATATCTATGCTCATCAAATGTTTAATAAAGTCTCAATCCAGCTGTCTGGTATGATGTTAGATCAAATCATGTTATTTTCTACACTTTACAGGTTGGGTCACAGTGGATAAGACACATGCCTTTGGTGTAAGAGACCTGAGTTCAGTTCCCGCTGTTACACATCCACCTGAGCAAAACACTTAACCTCTAGTTGCTCCAGAGGCATGCAGGTTCTGATATATATGTATATATAGCAATTGTAATCGCTTTGCATAAGAGCGTCAGCTAAATGAGTAAATGTAATGAGAGCAGTACTTATAGTTTATGGATGCTGCTGTCCTACTGTTGCCCTGTAAGCACTGGTAACATTTTAAATTACCGTGTGTTTTGTCAGTGCATTCCTCTATGAATATTAAAACAGCTACACACACACATAAAAGAAATAATTTATTTAATTCTGATGTCCGCTATGATTGCAATCACAAGACTCAAGCATAGGCAAGATGTTCACAAGCTTGACAGATTACAGCCTTTCCGTTACAGACATACAGTATAGAATAACATTATTTGTTAAAGTCAAGACCTGAAAGCTTCATAAGATGAGGGGAGATTCATCTTGGAAAAACATCTTATTGACAGCAGGGCAAGCTGACTGCTTATCCACTTGACATTTCTCTAAAAGGAAAAACATTCAGTAAATGAACTGCAACCACACTTTTCTTTAGATTAAAGGGCCCACTTGTGTAAAAGGATTTGCGATCATTTCCTTTTGTACATAGACATTAAAGGCTACAGAGCCACAGAGGGGTTCAGACTTGTCAGTTACACAGGAGATACGGGTACTGTGGCCGTGACAGTTGAAAGCAAATTTAGGTGCAAAAATCACAGTACTGGCTTAACCCTCCACATACTGTATTTCTTGGATCTTTTTTTTTTTTAAAAACACAAGAAAGTCAAGTTTTACTTCTTCCCTGCTTACACACAGGTTGAAACATTACAGGATTTAGTATCCTGTGCAAAAAGCTTTTAATAAATGTAAGCAGAACAACAGTCTCTACCCACAATGTGACGGTGCAATTTTGTTATTTGTTGCACGTTCCAGCACTCTATTCATTTGGTGTGAACATCAACACAAATGGGTCCTCGTTACTGGGGACAGAATCACCATCCACTTTTTATAATAAACATTTTCTTTCATAAATAAGATTTCCCCAGAAGAAAAACAAAAACTGAATCATTTCTATACTTCGCTTATCTGCAAAAACAGCCTGACAAAAACACAGGATACAGAGCAACCTTTAGTGTTGAAAGCCCAACAGTGATCATCATCATGTTTCATCCGCAATTAACTGCTAGGTGCATAAATTGCTTGTAGGCTATTAAAGCTGCAGCAGGTACTGGGGAAGGGGACTTATAAAAAAAACCAAAAAAGAAAAATGCACCACAGTTCACAGCCTCTATCATAAAAAACTATTTAGATCTGCTGAAAACATAACATCTTACAGTATGGAAATCTCCGTAGGTGTAACCCAGAAGTAGTTTGTTCCTTTACAAAGAACAGTTTTGCTGCTGAAGACCTGTGCCCACATTCACCTCACAGCCAACCACAAACTAAAAAAAAACAAAAAAACACTATGTACGGCACCTGACACGGTTAATATGTACATAATTACAAACAAAGCAGGAAAACAATAAGTTAAATCTTCTCTTACAAAATCTGCTGACTGCGTACATACAAAGGCCTGTGGACAGAGGTTTTCCAGCACAAAAACAGGGAAAAGCACACATCCAAATAGTCTTTTTTTGTCCAGTGCTCAATGTCTCTCTCCAGTGAGGGGAACTGGTACGACAGGTTTGAAGCATGGCCACTTATGAACGCAACATTACTATGAAGCCGAGCACCATCAAAGATCCTCTACTAGCAGCTGGTGCTCAGTATCTTCTGTCATTCTTAGTTTCAGTAGGCTTACACCTCTCTCTCTCTCTCTCTCACACACACTCACACACACACACCTTGGCTTTCATTTCCTTAAATCAAAAATATCTAGACCCTCCAAAATGTAGCTATAAGAACAGCCGAAACAAACACGGAAAATTCCACTTAAAATCAAATCTAGGCGTTGGCGAGATGTAGGGTCTGAGAAGGAAACTTGTTCCCCGGAGAGAGGCTTTTTGGAGCCAGTCCTTTTTATAGTGTCTCTCATCTCATGCTCACTTTGGGGACAAATCCTGGAGGGAAGCGAAGGGCGAGTTGCTGGACGAGGAGGGCGACACTCCCTCCATTTTGCCCGGTGAGTCGGTGGAGGAGCAGACGCTGCTCAGGCTGCCATCCAGCAAATCTGGAGAGTGGCTGAAAGAAAAAGGCCAGTTCAGTAAGACGGCAGGCTGTCGTAACTGTGGCAAACATCTGCTGTATTACAGTCTATACGAGGGGTTGGCAAATAAGTCTGGCATCGGGCCAAATTTTTCCAAGCCGTTATATTGGCAGAGACTCTTTTGAATTTCCTTCGGAACTCATCAAAGTAAAAGCTCTTAAACGCAACATGAAGCATTGCTGCAAAGTTCTTGCGATTTTATTTTAGAGGTACAATCACTTAAGAGGAAGTGGTTATGCAAGTAACTTGCTGTCATGACTGAGATCTATTCAAGCACCAGCCGTTATCAATTTATTAATTACTATCAAAGCAATCTGGCCTGCGGGTCGACTATTACCGACCACTGGTCTATAACTTCACGCTGGAGGAGAAAGCTTGTGAAAATCTCACATTACATCCATTCATTGTAGCATTTTCTCTCTTTTAAAGTTAAATATTAAAGCAATACTGAATACTTGTAGACTCCATTATAAGTGTTTTGTTTAAATGTACTTTTTACTTGCAATACACAGCAATCTTAAATAACCCCCTTAAAGTCACAATGTCGTCTGGTTATTTCATTCACAGGATTGTCATTGTCTAAAAAGTAGTGTCATTTTGACCAGGTAATATTGTGCCACAAAGTCTTACCAGGAACTGAGATCTGACAGGTTGGAGACATCAGAGGACAGCATGGTGGTGGTTCCCTGGAAGAGCCTCTTAGGCTGACTCTCTGTCTCCATCTCACCTGCAGAGGAAAGGCACCCTGACATTTACAAATCCTTCTCAATACACAGTCTGTGGCTGATCTAAAAATGGGACAGATGGATGAAATAAGAGTGTTTTATTGCATAATCTGAGATGGTTTAAAGTACAGATCTTATTTCATTATCAGAGAGGCAAGAAGCCATGTAAGGAGGTTTACGTAGGTCTATGGTTTAACTAAGGCCCCTTTAAAGAACTTAATCAAGCCAAGTGAGGCTCATAAGCTACATGAATTTCATACACATAGAGTGTCTTTGATCTCGTTATTACTCTCTACAGTCAATATTCCATTAATAGAACAACCTTTGGTCTGAACATAATGCCTTGAATTTACAATCCATCACTTCTATCCATAAGCGGTAAAATTTCAAACAGATGTGAGATCAATTCTTCTCAAAGCATTTAGGATTTCAAGGCATGTTAGATACCTCACCTTTACGTTTCATTGGCCCAAGTATGCTGGCTCTGATGCAGTTGATTGGGCTTTGACTCCGTCGGCTAAAGAGCACAGAACACACACTGTCAGTACATTTTGAAATGCACTTGTACACCATTTTAAGATTACCCATACATATGAAATTATTATTGTTTACTCAGATATGTCTAAATAGTTGAGACAATAAAGTTTTATTTTTATTCGACTAAAACCGGCAAAAGGAAATCCATTTTATGCCACCGGGGAGAAACTACAGTCAGACTGGAGCCAGCTGGTGCTACTGCTGCAGTCTCACAGTAAACAAGGATGTTTATCAAACAGATGTTTATTTAGTAACACTGGTAGATTATAAGATTATTGCCGTTATTATTATTACTACTCAAAGACTTTGTGCTCACCTGAAGCGTCGCGTTGGGCTGGGTATTGGGCTGGGTGTCAGGCCGTTGCTGCTCACAAGGATTTGTAGTGAAGGAGAGAAACACTGCTGCTTGCAAGAGAGCGAAGTAGAAAATGCAGACAAGATCAGTCAAATGTGAACTGTACATTGTGACACCAGACAAAGTCAAACTGGAGTAGGAACCCCCCCCAATTAACAGGACAGGACATTTGGCAATGTTTGGTATTACTGTGGCATAATGGGTATAAACCTTTTCTCCCTAAATATTCAGCAAACAAAATTAAGAAATGGGAATGAATCCGATGCAATCCCAACACACTAATGTGGTTTGCAATAAAGAAGTTTTTTTTTGAATCTGCAGCCAAATGAAAGAAACAAATTTACCGAAGAAGCACACAAAGAACAAAGTTTGTATTTTTTTTTTCCCCCAGTTGCTAATAAATTGCTTCTTGCAGGCTGCCACACAGACTTCCATTCATAAATCTGATTGTAAGCGGTTAGGAAAATCAGGTTACCAGAAACCATGAATGCTTCAACTATTGCCTTCATCTGGTTAGACTTAATCAGGTTATGTGCATGTAAAGATACTGGAGGTCAGATGTACCTTTTTCCCTATGCCCCTTGTTGGGGACGGGGCAGGCGACACAGGCACGAAGTCGATGCGCTTTGGAGACGAAGATGCCGACTTCTCATCATTGTCGCTCTAAGATCACACAATTACAAAAAACACATTAGTGGCCATTTCATCTGGCATCATCTCTCTACAGTACTATGCAGTGAGGTGGGAGTGTTGGAGTATTATACTACCACTCAGTCTGGCCTTCAGAGACTGGTGGCCCTGTTAACTCCAGAAGTGTTAATCTAGCATGTTTGCACTTGTCCCCTCTACAGAAAGAGAGGCCAACAGCAGCCCAGGGCCAAAACATGCAGTGGGAAAGTACAACAGAGCTGACTTTCAAGAGCAAAAGGAAGTATCAACAACACTGATGGGGGTTGGACAAGCTGTAATGAAGAGTCTCTTTACCAGACTAAGGCTTTCTTCCCATGACTGGCTCATCTGCATGGCGGCTTGAACTTCCCTGTGTGTTCAAAAGTAGAAAACAAGGAATAAGGTGACGCATTTACCGTTTTCCCTAAAGAGTCATAACTTCTCCTCATCCACCAAGTGCATTCATAAATTTATAGCTTACCGCTCATGAGCAGTCTCTCTGTTCATCACGTCTATGCCCTCTTCCTGCAAAAACACACAACAGGGTTAAATAAAGTCTAAGTTTGCCAAGTCATCTTTGCTTTTCTGACTTACATTCACTCATCAAACTGATTATTGAGTATTCAGGCTCATGTCATTGCTGTCAGGCCTAATTCTGACTCCAAAGCTACATCCTTTATCTCATCTTAAAAGATAAAACTGAACTGTTTTTCATTTCACTTATTGGAAATTAAATTCAGCCAGTAGATGAGCAACCACATCCTCTGTTGGAGTCTGATACTACCAGTTGATCAACGCTGTGAGATCGATGGCCCTGTGAACTCCAAAAGGTGTTACTCTAGCATGTTTTTTAAAACACCATCACTCCCTATGGCTTGAGAGGGGGACGGTGGTCTGACATGCTACTTTTCAACACAAAGCCTCTCCAAATATGTCAAAAAAAACAATGGCGCCTTTTCTTACTTGTTTTATCTGATGAAGTCTGGTGCTGGGGACGCGAATGGGTGACGAAGGGACCTGTAAAGGAGAATGCGTGCCAAAAGGTGAACATTCAATACTCAATCATTCAGACCAAAATTACTTGGATCAAACATGTTTAATAAAGTATTGTACCATGTTGGGCCTGTTGACAACTGTAGTGCTATTTCTCCGGCTACGCAGGACCTCTCTCTGGAACACTTGGGAGTTATCACTGGAATGAAAAATTCATAGACCAACAATGTGTCATGTGTCTTTTTATCCATGAAGTCAGTGTAATGTAGTTACTTCAAGATGTATGACAAAAGGGACAAACACATTCACTGAAAGAGTATGCAGTTAATTATTGTAACTATGTCGTAATTGTAGAACCTTAAGCCATTTATCATGGGTGCACTGTTGGATCTTCTCAAGTGTCCATCGGTCTGAACTAACGAGGATGGGATTTCTAGATCCAGCTCCATCTTTTCTTGTGGAAAGACTCCTGAATTGTTCATTTTGCTAGCTAACCCTGCCTGACACCGATTCACGAACTAAAAATGGCTAACCAGCTCAGGGGTGTTACATTGTTGCTCTCCAAACTTTGCTAACTTTACATGTCGTGAAAAATCCTCATCAATCAGGGCTGACGTGAGACAAAGTCAGTTAGCTAACGCAATGAGTTAACCCACAGCAAGCAGCAAGGCCCTGCTGTCTGTATAACCTCACTCAACGCAACTTAACGCTTGCTATCAACCATAACAACGTTATCTCCACAATTCTGCATATCACAGCTACATGGTCAGTCAGAGCTGGCCAGCGCAAACGTTGCCTGTAACGTTATGACCAGTATCAAACTTTCCTGTTGGAGGGTTAGCATACCATAGCTACATACCGCACAATGCCCGGCTACTGTTGGAGAGCGTTAGTCTGCTGGTGCGCGGCAGCAGTGGGTGAGAAACGCTGCTGAACTACCACTGCATGTTAAATTAGCTATCGTTAGCCAGACTGAGCAGCTGCTTCCAAAATGAATGTTCACACCAAGTCTAACGTAGGTTACGTTAATTTAGCGACGCTGCTGTTTAGTGATCTTAACAACGCGAGTCTAGCTTCTAGCTAACACATCGTAGCTAGTGTTGATATACTTATTGCTAGCTAGTCGATCCAGCCACAACTAACACAGCCCAGCTTGGTAGGCTAACTAGCTAAGTTAGCATTAGCGCCAGTAGCCACAATGCTATGTCCAGAGAGAGAGAGAGGCCTGGTCATCATCACTAAATGCTCCTGCCCGTCTAGTTACTACGGTCCACACAGGCAAATCTGTCTATTGTAAATAATACACGCTCCACGTTAAACTACGCTTTTCGTTTCTGCAGGGCGCCGCCAAAAGTGACCCACATCCCAGATGCTCACACAGAAGCTATATTAGCTAGCTGCTAACAGCAAGCTTCACGCCCCTTTTAACGCTAGCAGACCTGTCCAATGAAATTGCTCCATATGCCGGCGTACTCATGCAGAATGCGGCGACCTGCGTTTTTGCATCCCATGGTTCATGGATAAATTCTTACATTTACACCTTCTATAATGTCAGTGGCTAAATGTGTTATCACACCTGGGTAGGGGGGACACATTCGCTGCATCAAAACCGGCAGTTTCTGTTTTTACCTGGTTCCCTGGCACCTTTGCCCGCAGGAGGCCCAGTGCAGATAATTCGGGGAGGATGGACGGAATTTTGTTCCGGAAGATCTGTTCTTGAGTTATTTACAGCAGCTTAGCAGTCCACTGTTCCTGTTGCCCTACTGGCTGCAAATAACTTCACGTTCATCTCAACTGACAAAGTGCTTAGTGCAGTCAGCAACCAACAACACAAAGTAGTGATTAAATATGAATCAGATTACAACAAGCAAAGCATTACGCTCTGACCAGCACATTTGGTGTTCATTTTCATAAACAATTTAGTCCTGAAATAATACAATTATATTCATTTTAATAATTGTAATGACTTAATCAACTTTTCTTGACGTTTAAATCAACCAGGCTGTCTGTTTAAAATAATAAAGAAATACAGATTTCAAATAAGCTCACATAATTATTGGACACATGAAAAGCCCAGCCCGAGAATGAAATGCTTTGCAATCACTATTTGTTCAAAAAGAAAAATGGCATTCAGCAGGTATTTAATTCATTAAATTGTTTAACCTTTTCTTGACTCGTGGTTAAAACAGACATGTTCCTTCTTTGGCCGTAATTACTGACCTATTGTACTGATAGACAGCTTGGAGTTCAAGGTCAGATGACAACAGATCAAACATTCATGATCTTCATGGAGAAGCACTAGCCTAGACTTGTCTTATTTCGTTCCTAGAGTGCTGGGTACAGTTTACTCCTAGAGAGCACACATACATCACTAAATACGTTTGAGGAAGAAACTGATCTTATCTCCCTCACTGCTTCATTTACCAATAACTTTTACTATTGATTGAACAGAAATCATTTAAATGTTCCAAGAATTTGTTGTTATATTGTTTAAAAAGCTCTGTAGTAGAATCCACTAGTTGAAGGAGTGGTGAGAACATAAATAGCTGGTATTGCAAAATTCAGATGACACTGGTTTACAGTGATGGCACCATTGAATGAGAGAATTTCATACAGTAGAAATAGCTTCTTTTTTTTTTTTTTAAAGTTCAGTTAAATAATTATTACAAACATGACTGAATAACTTCAGTTTAGGCATCAATTGAACATTTACACATCTGTAAACTGCATATTTTCCAGCATAAAAATGGATCTGCCTTAAACGTTTCACAAATAAATTGGATGAATAGAAGCTTTGTTCCGAAAAATATTTCATAAACACTCATAAATAAAAAGATATTTCATCTTCAGCACACCTGTGTGTTTAATTAGGGACAGCAGCAAACATTTGTGTTACTTTTCTACAGAGTGTATCATAAGAAAATCTTATCACACACGCAACACAGTAACATAGAAAAGGGTTTTGTCCCAAAATATACAGATTTCAAGGAAATGTGACATCCTCTTTAAGAGTATCCATAAAACAGCTTTTGATAGTTCCAGACAAAAGTAAAATTACAATAAAAATCATTATATCATTAAATATGAGGTTGTCAAATGTCGAGCTTAATAATTTATTCCATTGCTTAAAAAAATAATGAATCAGTGTGGGGGCAAAGAAGCATCATACTAATATCCGTGCTGTTTAAGCCAGCTGTGTTTCCATCTAAGACAATAATTTTTTTCCATTGTGTGTGTGTGGTGTCTAAAACAGGCAATGCAACTGTCAGTACCATCACTCCATCAGTGTATCCTCAGGGACCCTGACCAGTCTGAGTACGTTTATGACACAAATACAAAGTAATAACATATAAAATTAACCTTAAAGGGAAAGATCTAACCGTACATTAAAAATCAAAGTACTCTTCATGCCTTGTACTTCTCCTTCCCCGTTTCACTAATGACGCAGATATGCTGAAACAGAAAAGGATCAATAAGTATTGCAGCATATTATTTTGTGAGTGTCTTTATTTTGTTAGACAACATTTAACACACTAGTACAAACTCTACATCCATTTATCCATCTGAAATACTTACATTTAGATCTCTAAAGTACTCGTTGTAGTCTAGTGCGTATCCCACCACAAATTTGTCAGGGACCTCGAATCCTACAACTGGAAGAAAGAGGTGAATATATCAGCAACTTGTCTTTGTAGTGGTAAACTAACAACACTGAAATGAGGGTATGCAAAAGCCTCATTTTAAAGCACACTTTATGACAACTATCCTGTGTAACATGCAGTACATTATACCAACTATACATTTCACAGTCTGCCAAATATTTTATCTAATATTTATTGTCTTGAACTCACAGTCTGGTCGGTAGCCAACACTTCTTGGTGTTCTCTTCACCAACAAACTGAGGACAGAAACCAAGTTGAGTTGGCTGCATGAAAAACTGATAAATACAACAGTCTGTGGAAACCTTTCAGTGCAAACCTCTACAATCTGTTGTGAAACAGGATCTTGTGATTCCACAAGACAGAGTGCTTTGTACTGTTCATGTGCAGTTTTGAAAAGATATGAATTACCTTGCTACTTTAACCATTTGGGGGTTGTACTGTTTGAGGAGTTGCAATAATGTCTTCATTGTCTTCCCTGTGTCGATAATATCCTGAAAACACAGATTGAGAGAAGCTCATATCAGCGGTCTTGAAATCAGGAATGCAAACTGGTCAGGGGTAAGAAAGGTGAGAAGGACACGCAAGCAGATAAACACACAGAGAAGGTGTCAGAAGGGTCTGTTTAAGCTTACATGTTTGTATAGATAACTTGCAATTGTGTACTGCAACAAGAGAAAGATACTGACACACAAGGGCGTGACTGTGTTGAAAAGCAGTGGGGACATAAGGGCTCAGATTAGGGGTGTGACGATACACTGAGCTCATGAGAGGAGATGCATGATATTGGTGTCACGAGAACACAAGAAGAAGAAGATATTTTAACACTACTTTAAAGAAAACAATTAATGCAGAAATATATGAGAGTGTGTGTGGAGGGGTCTGGAGGTCCTCCCCCAGACAACTTTGAGCATTAAACATTTAATTTCCTGCATTCTGGTGACATTTTCTGCACCTCCTGCAATATTTTATGGTGGAAATGTTTTTATTTATGTAAAAGGGAAACAAAATCCAGGTGGCAGGTGAAAATTGAACATCTAAAAATATAAGAAAAAGGAAAACTTGGCAAAAAGAAACGGTGTCAAGAAGTAAGTTATTGACTGGTGTGTGCAAGTTTTGGGGTGATTTTATAATTAGTAGCTTGATTTGGTTTTTTTTATCTTAAGTTAAATAAATAAATAAATAAATAAGTGCAAATTAACTTTTCTCAAAGTATTTTCATTTGTTATTTAACATTTCTTTTTGCAAGTTATTCAGACCATTTTTAACGCTTTCAAAAAGTGGTGGGGACAAAATCAGCCATTTTAAAAAGGTGGTGGGGACATGACCCCAGCGGGAAGCTTCCGGTCTGAGACATGAATCCAATGCAGAAGTCCCTTAAACCTGCATTCTATTGAACAGACAGCAGGGGGCGACTTTTCTGGTTGCAAAAATAAGTCCGGTTCATTAGAAATAATGGTAAAATGACCCTACTTCTCACCTGATTTATTACCTCAGTAAACACTTTCATAATAAGTTTATGGTCTCAATCACTAGTTTCATGTCTTCTTCAATACAACATGATGTTCATTTCGTAAATTATGGTCCCATTTAGAGGAAAATAGACCATAAAGCTGGAGTATGCTTCAGGGCGGGATTATCTCTGTTTGACAAGATGTTACCATGGCGATTTGTTAATCAGGCTAGAGTAACTCGTACCCACGGCACTGTGTAAATTTAGCCAACACTGCTGAAAAAACATATTAGGAGTTGGCACTTTCTCTGGTGAGTACATTTAGTTTCAAGCCTGTTGTTCACTGGACAAAATTGTCGGCCCTGTTAAAATGACAGTTAACATGATGTTATATGTCTCACATCAGGCTTGTTCGGCAGTCTTTTACAGCTCTTACGTGTCAGACTCCGCAGTGTAGCGGACTAGAAAAAAGACCCTAGTATTGATTGGCTGTCAGGTTTAGCAATTAGGAGTGATGGTTGGTTAGGAATATGCAGCTGTAAATTTGCAAAGCTCATGCTAGAGTGGACTCGGTAGATATAACCACCGACCGGCGAATTTTGACGAAAGGCGAGTTTGCATATGTGCAAGAACGTTGTTTTTTTTTTTTTTACTATAGAAGGAAACATCAGTACATACCTCCACAATCAAGACATTCTGTGTAAAAAGAAAAGAACAATCATTAGTTTAGTGAAAAACCGCAGACTGGATACATTTTACCTTTGTATGCAATTGAACTCAAAAGGGATGTGACATGATTTTAACACTCAGCTATCTGCATCTGTATGGCTGTACAGTGTTGCACAGGAAATAATCATAGCATGAGTGTTATGAAACTATGGGAGCCGTGAGAATGGAACATGGAAGCGATTTCTACCAAAAAGCCAATTCTAAGTAATTGGCAGCAGACGGAGAAACAGATGTGTTTCCTAGTCCTACAGTCAATCACACGACCACATCTGTCTGACAAACAGTGCCTAAAGCATTAAATCAAAGCATTGGGTCTGTCAGGCGCGTCATTGTTATTAATCACCATCATCAAACGGATTTGTAAGTGAATCTGTTGATTTAAAATGTCTGACAGACGACAAGAGCAGCACGCTTTGTTTCTCATTTCAAGCTAATATATTATTACATATAATACTGACCACAGTGTCAACATAGTTTGTCATTCTTCTTACCTTGCCTGTCAACGTACACAGGTCATCCCCACCGATTACTTTGATTTCACCTGTCGACTGGTCGTTCTGTGAGGACAAGAAGCAAGTGGACATTATATGATGTACAGGTGCAGAAAGTTTAACAAGGGCCAAAACTAACATGGTGGTTGATTAAATAGCTTAATTTGGTGCATATTATATTAGATGTGGTTCCTAGTTTTATGCACATTTATTCAATATGGAAACATAAGAAATTTGAAGGAAAAAAAACAACTTGAGATATCACAAAAATGTTTTTATCTGGGAGGTGGAAAAGTTGGCATATCAATATTAATTACATTATCTCATTGCGCTATGTTCTTCTGCAATGGTTTAATATAACCCCGACTGGAGAATCAGTGCCACCAGCTGTTTATGTTCAGCTGCAAGGGCTCCTCCTGGCCACATGTTGAAGTGTGTGTGTGAGTGAATGGGTTAATGAGAGGCAAATTGTAAAGTGCGTTGGATAAAAGCACCATGTAAAAGGCAGACATTTATCTAAATTCACTCAACGCCTAATACTTCCTTTTCCAGTAAAGCACATTAATTTGCATTTTATTTTGCATACTGTCCAAAAATGTTAATAAAAACTGTTGACAGAAACCTGGTTGTTGAAACCTAGCACATGTGCCGAATGCATTTCCTTCCTTATAAAACATTTAAAAGCTGATTTTTGACTATTTTATATCCATGGTTGCTAGCTTTAAGTCTTCTTCTTTCCTGTTTTTGCTAGCACATTGCTAAGCTTCTTATCTCCACCAACTTATCAATGGAAAGGGCATGAAACTGTCTGCAAGAATGTGTACTGCATCGCCCACATGCACGAGATACAAACAAAATGGGGAAACGCTTGTAAAAACATTGCTCCATACTGCTACTATTTGTCAGAATCTCCACAGGGTACCTTTAAGAATTGAAACCTGTAGTTCTTTTAAATATAAAAACACTTTATGGCTTATATAAAAAGAAAGTAGGTCAATACAGCACATCTTAAGTGATGCCAAAAAAAAAAATACACAGATAAAAACTGATAGATTACACAGTAGCTCTTGAGGCGAATGAAGTCCACGGTCATTGGGATGGAGCGGTCACTGTTCCTGTTCAGGGCCTTGATGTAGTCCAGCAGGTCTGCAAAGAACTTGTAACCCCCTTTAAGCACACAGAGCGCCACAATGTGGTGCCCCCCCATTTCCTTCATTATCTCTCTGGCCAGTCTCTCTGTCCTGAGGTCACGTGGGAGGGGGAGAGAACAACAGAGATAGAGGATAGTTAGCTCAGTTCTGCTACAGTCAGCAGTAATTCCCATTTCCCTTCTGTTTGTGTCAGCAGGCATAGTGGCCATTTCTAAACCACACCCAAGTACAATAACTCCAGAGATCCAGTTAACTAAAAAAATATTTAAAAACCCAAAAGGTTATCTGCATTAATCATTAAATCCCAAATCTGCAAGAGGAAACAGAAAAGTAGGAATGAAATCCTCCATCTGAAGTACAAGTTAACAGACATCTGATGTGTGTTGTCTTCACAACATACATCAAGCTACTAAGAAGAAAATATGACCTCTTACTAATCATCAAATAAAATTTGAAATGGTGTCTGACTTTTGTTAAGATTAGGTACACAGAACGTGTCATCAGCACTTCCACCAACCAGTTGCTGAACATGTTTGAATCCCACCTAGCCTTAGACAGACTAGTCAACCCACTGTTTAGTTAACCCTGACAATTCATTGCATTTTCACAGTCCCACTACAAGCTGCTAAAAATGCGGCAACCCCACCTGTCCAAGATGAGTCCATGTGGGATGTAGACCCTCTCCAGGTCTGAGGCATAGTGCTTTGGTATGCAGAAGAGGTCCAGGTCATACCCCTGCTCCTCATCACTGATCTGGAATAAAACACGACACAAAGGGGTTAAAAACCTCAGGGATATTACCTAACATGGGACATGGGGTGTTCATCTGATACAGGGCAGTACAAGGGGATGGTGGTCTACTTTCCCACCAACTCCCTTCGTAGTGTTTTACCGCCTTCACATTCTTTCCTGGCACAAAACGCAAACTCAGGGGACAATGCCTGATTCTGTGCAGTTTGTCTTTCCAGAAATTCCACATTGTGCCTGGTTGTATAAATGATTGTCAGTATTTCTTATATTTTGTAAAATTAAATGTCCTGCTCTAGTGCAAACTGCATGCCACATGAACCCAGACAACATAACTGGCATCATGTGACAGCTGGGAAGCTGGTGTAGAGCTCACCGTGCTGTGGGAACGATGTGGCCATAATCACACTCACAGTAATTATAACGGTGCACAATGTCTATCCTCCGGTGTCGATAAAAAATCCCATCACTTTACTAAACCCTGGTTTGTGAAGTGCCTATCCTCACATCATATGTGGTTGAACTAGAATAAGGGATTCCCCCTAATGGAAAAACATGTCCATCTGTTTGGCTACACCCTTTCAATTCCAAACAATAAATCACTGATACTGAGCAGATGTCCATATGGTAACATGATCTGAAGGAGTATTTTCCAGTGTTACTCACAGGCTTGCTGCCGGTTATACAAGAATTAAAGTTGCATAGTAAAACATGAAAACCAAAACAACCACCCAACAAAATAGCCTGAGGTCAGTGGAAGGGCAACCTTCAGGTTTGTGCTAACAAAGTCCATGTTTGGCAACACTGCACTCTGCGGCTAATGTCATCTGAAATGTGGCACAGGAAACAGGATCTTCCACTCTCTTTTAATGCCAAAATGTCCAATTAGCTTCATTATAACGTCAGTTAGCAAGTGGGTCTGCTGCCAGCCTGCTGGCCAGACTTCATCATGATAAAACACCAGCTTCAAAATGTGGGGAATGTCCTGGTAAACAGACCACATTGGTTATTTATTTACTCATTCCAGTACAGAGGTCTTTAGTGGCTTGTCAGCATATCTCTATAAGAAATTCCAAAATGCACACAGATGCCACGACGCAGGCCATTGTGCTGTGACTCAAAATGAAATACCATACATACAAAGAAAAACTTTTTCTTAAACATTCTATTGGACATTTCAGTCTTGCAGCACATAATTTCCTAACGTGATGACATTTCAGTTCAGCTTGGGACAACTTTTTTTTTTTGGTTAACAAAACAATCAAGTCCACTGTACAACAAAGACGGTGATATTTGATGAGTCCTCAGATTGTTAACTTCATTAAGTCTTATTCATTTGCCAGAGGGGGTACTTTATTAGATTTTCTTTCCAGATACCAAATTTCCCTTTTTCATGTAAGCACTATAGATTTCACGTCTGTTATTTCTCCTAATTAAGTTTAAAAACAACTGTGTGTCTTGTCTGTCACACACTTACTCCTGCTAGACAGACTTATGCCACTTGAGGCACAAACAGTACATGTATATTCACCTGGGGGTATTGACAATTACATCACAAGCCATTTTTGGGAATAACTATACCGCCAAGGCTAATAAGCTAGGCTGTATGATAATTATACACACAATGCTTGACACATAATAAACAAGGGCGCGCTCAAACACACCCCCTTATTTGCAGCTCGAGCGTTTCTTCCTGTCTCACTGTAACGTTAAATGATTAATTTCTTTTTTAATTATACTAAGAAACCCCGTACCCTGGTGTCAGACACAGAAACTAGAACATTATGTTTTTTAATGCGTCTCTTGCGTCACGTACACCACGCGTGGAGAGCGCGTGTCTTTGACCGTCTCCATAGCCGCAGGCCACGCTATGACAAACATACAGCTTTATCTCCACCAAAACGTCTTACCGAGGTGAGCATGAAGGCCATACGACCTACAGTAGGAGGCAAGTTATTTAACTAACGCAGTGGCGCCCGTGTGTTTTTCCAGTGGGCATGCAGGGTAAACTGCGACCACCTTCTGTCCCTTTCATTCCGGTTGTTATTGAGGAACTTACCACAACACAGGAGCTGGATGTCGCCATGGCCGTGTCGGTCCCTGTCGTTCAGTTTTACGCTACCGTGGTCTTCAGAAAGGGGACAAAACAAAACGTAACCTCAGATTGGTTTCGCGGACTCTTCACGCTTGTGACAGCACACACATGGGAGCGGCTAGCTCTGCGACTACAGGAGGCTGCTGTCTTTTTCCGGGCTGCGGCTCCACCGTAGCTCCGCTGTGGTGTGCACACCGTGACGCAGCAGCGCGGCGGGCAAATCAAGCGAGCACGGACGGGCTGGCCCCGCCCCGCGTGGAAGAGCTAACGCTAACAGGTAGTAAAGCCAGAGACGTTTTATAGAGGACTTTAGTAAAACTCTGCAATGCAGATTTAAATACAATATGTCGCATTGTTGTCATCAACAAAGCTGTTCCAGCCTGGTGCCCATCTTCAATGAATTATGGCGACTTGGCGCGCAGACTGGATGGGACAAGAAGACAGTTGGTTTTTTTCTGATATTTCAGTTAAAGTGAGTGATTTTGCATCGTCACGCTTCAATGTTGTCTTTATTAAAGTGAATTAGTGATGAATCACCCTCATGCATTAATCATACATCGACAAGAGCCTATTTTTACGGATGATGAAATACAGAAAAAAAAAGAAATACATGGCAATTTACCATGTTGTTAATATTTTAGAGGTCCCCGCAGAATTTCACAAATTATGTTTTTAGGGGAGCTCATTGTTTATTAAGTGCAGCCAAGCTTTTCTGTGGTTGTCACCCAGCTTACTGACCTTGACTGCTGAACTAAACTACCTTTTACCTTTTTAGGCCAAGATGAGCATTCATCGGGATAACATATGGATGGATGTGTGTTTGTAATGCTAGATTCAGTAAATCTGACAACTTTGAAGCCAGAAACTATATAAAATGGGATTCAGAATTTTATTCCTGGCGTTATAGAGAATGCTTTAAAACAAACACCATTACCTTCATGTTGGGATGTATTTACAGAATATATAATTTAACTGATTAAAAAGAATATGAAAAATAATGATAAAGTCAGAGTAGAGAAGGTTTTTAGGGCAGGAATACCGATGTCCTGGCTTCCTCTCTGCCTATTTCGTCATGGTAAATTACCAACATCATATAATAATGTTATTCACGGACAGCTACCTTTGCCATTACAGGGCAATCACTAAATTAGTTCACTGTGCTATTTCAAGGATTTTGAAAACTAAATTTGCACTCCCTTTGCGCATGTGTTGCATCATTTCCCATTAGTACAAAGAAGTATATAAATGAATACTAGCTGCAAAAGAGTTACATGAAACAGTCATATAACTAGTATGTAGTATGGAACTGGGAAACACAGCACAACACATTAAAACTGAGCTGTACAATACTGTAAAAAATAAAGTGAATTCTGTATTATTACTTTCCTCATTTATCAGGGCATATCATTACTATCAATATATGGAGAATGTTTTAACATTTAAACTGCAGGTTTGCCAAAGAAAGCAATGTAACGTTACCCTTTTTGTAATACCCTCAAAGTCATCAGCTAAGGTTTTAGTATGAATGTCATACTTTACAAAGCCATGATATTCCTTCTGGCATAAACTACAACATCATCAAGGCTTTACTTTGATCACTATCACCATCTATGCCTTCAAGTACATCAAGGCTTTACCATATGATACTGTAGTGCGGACCTGATGATGACTAAGTGCACAAGATTTGTACATTTAAATAGATTAAATGCACAAAGTTATCCATACAAAGTACTTGTCAAAATGAATGCTCCAGGTGGCAGCATACATACAGCTATGGTGGTCTGACTTCATGACATTACAGCTAGTGTGACATTCCTCACTCTTCAAACCTTCACCCTATAACCTGCCCCTGAGTGCTGCTTTGTGTTTTGAGAACTCTATGGACTCGCTTTCAAATGAAAGACTCAATTCACTCAGGAAATGTGTAAAATAAAATATTTTCTATTTCCAATCATTCATGAATACATTTGTAGAGATACAAGTAACAGTACATCAAACAAAGTCAAGCCAACTCTTCTAAAGAGCTCTACATTGCCCTTTAGCAGCTAAAAGAAAACGCCACCTTTAACAGTGGGAAAATCCAAGTGCATGCTGGCAAAACTTGTAATTGTGACTGTTTGAAATCCAGATATTCAAAATTACTCATGATGATAATACGGTAGCAAAATATTACATATAAAGAAAGAAAGGCTAACATGAAAAGAGTATTTTTAAGACATGATTACAGAAACATGGTAATCAAACTGCACAACTTGATAGAGAGACTAGTAACAAACAGACCCCTCTTAAAAGTGAGTCCCTTAGAAGCAAAGGAAGAGCAAGAATGTATTGATTTCAGCAAGTGTGGTTCATGTCATCTGTGGGGGGACATGGGCAGTGAGTGACAATCAAAAGATCAGTCCGTCAACTCTGAATCACGGCAATGTTACATGTATTTGAAATTGAGCCCACAACTGACTCTTGGGGAAAGACTAGCCATGGCGTTTCCTGATCCTGCAGCAGTCCAGTGCTCTGCAAAGTACCACCAGTCTGTAGAAAGCTCATCTAGCCAACTGAAAACAGGGTCTCATGAAGAAGACGACGTCTGGTACACATTGGGACATCATGTCCATTTACTGGAAGAAACCATGTGAAGGACTCGAGGGAGCTTGTAGACCATGACTTTGTGAGTAGGCTAAGATTTAGTACAAAAAAAATTCCTCTCCCCCATCTTTGAGTTCTTCTGTTTTCACCCCACGTCACATCCATCAGGCCAACCTGTAAGAACGGCATCAATGAAATGACAGGAAATGTTCAAACTCCATTTGTTGCAATCCCGCTGAAGCTATATAAAAACACCAAACCTCATGTTATACATAAAAAGTGGGCATTTTCAACTCTGTAACATTGGTTTCTTTGTGCAACAACCATACCAACGTACCTAGTTGCCATTCACTTGTGTTGATGGTGTACCTCCGTGGTCGATTGCTGCCCTCTCTCTACTGCGATTCTCTCGTTCCTCATCTTCCTCATCCCTCTCCTCATTGCCACTGTGGTTCTTACAGTATAGTCTAAAAACACACACAAGAGGGCTTGTAAGTAACAAATTACAGTAAATTAAGCACAGCGATTTTTAGTTTTCCTGCACAGTTCTAATGCAAATCAGTGATCATTTTTCAAGTGCAATGTGGTTTAGTCAAGTTGTAAAGACTTAAGAGCTAATTTTACCCTATGGAGGTTTTACTCAATGTTTTCACGAGTGGGTCCCCGTTTTCTTTGAATAATGTACGAGGATGCACATTCTGACTCTTAGTTTCACACTACTTCACTGATCAACAGCCAGTGGTTGTAACACACATAGAAAGTAGACTGGAAGTTAGCTAACATGGATGTAAAGAAAGGCATTTGTGAGCAACATTTATAATAGAGTTGCAACGATTAATCGAATAATCCATTAGTTGTCAACTATGTTATATATCTATTTTGGTAATCGATTGGTTTCAGTAATTTTTTTAAGAAAACCCAATTTCAGCTTCTTAAATATTTTCTGGTTTCTTTACTCCTCTATGACAGTAAACTGAAAGTCTTTGGGTTGTGGACAAAACAAGACATTTGAAAATGTTACCTTGGGCTTTGGGAAACACTGATGGACATGTTTCACAATTTTCTGACATTTTATAGACCAAGCAACTAATCAATTAATTGTCAATGAAAATAATCGTTAGTTGCAGCTCTGATATACAATAATGGTGTTCAAAGAATAATTGGACTTAACATAAAAGTGCAAATGATCCTGTGGCAACAATTACTATAATTCTAAATCTCCATGTAAAAATACAATATAAAAGTCAAATGATGTTGTGTAAATGTGGTTGTGAAGCGAAAGCACTTTATTTTTAACTGAAAATGTGTTTATCTGTAGAAGCTCACTTGTAGATGCCACGCGCCATGTTTTCAATGTACTTGGCTTTGTCCTGCATCCCGCAATGATAGTGGTAGGTCTTCACACAGGCCTTGATTTCACACCCAATGGTAGCACCCAACTGAGTGCAGAGTGTGCATTTCTAAGGAAAAACAAAAACCCAGCTAAGTCACATTTTTTTATGTCAAAATAGCTTTTACAACTCAAGTCAGACAAATCTTCTCACCATTCTTTTCCCCCTCTTGATTTCCTGGATGACTGTTTTCACATCAAAGTTTCCAAATTCTGCCCGTGATGTAGTGGTCAGCTGCACCGTCCCCGATGAAAAAAGCTGGATCATAGATTACAGAAAGAGGAAAGTGGTGGTTCTGCAGATTCACACAAAAATGTTTTGCAACACGTTGCACAAAATAACACATACAACAATCTTACCATGCACTTGTAGTGTGCAGCCACTTTTTTGGAGTTATCGGTATGAAGCATGCCCCTTGTTTCATTCTCTTCCTCACCAGCGTGACAAAAGCCACAGCGCTGGCCGCCATCTCCTGGGCTGACCCGAAGAGGTGACCTGTCCCGCTAGAACACACAGAGCAGCACTCAAAAACAGAGGCCACATGCGGCCAACAGACCATTCAAGTACATTTCACAGACTGCATTCGTGAACAGACGTGTTGCCTTACATGAGAGGAACTCTCCTCGTCTGCCACCTGTGAGGAGGTCGAGCGGCTGTCTTCCGAATGGCCGCGAGATCCGACCTTGGCTCTCCCCTTCTCAAACCTTCCTCTGCCTCTGCTTTGTGGCGGCGATGAGTCTGAATCATTGGCCACAGCTCCTTCTTCATCTAATGACAGATCAATGATGATTAGCACAATTTTTCCCGTTTATAACTGATGAATCCAAGCATAGAGCCTGTAAGTGGATGTTTTTTTATAACAATTTTAACACAAAAATTAGATCAAGAACTTAAATGAGACTAAATGTCGAGCACAAAGCAGATAATTGGGGCACTGCTGTAAGAGCATGTTTTTTGGTAGTGACAGAATTTATCATTACAACACATTTCAAAATGATACAGTTTATAAATCGACAATCATCACTGTATCTTGAGAATATTATTGTTAAGTACATTTCAAACAACTGAAATTCATGGGGTCTTTTAACTGAAATGGAAAACAGGTACCCAGCTGTAAATCAAATCATCCATGTAGCGATATAACAGATGTTAAAGCATACCTTGAATGCCATCCTGAGA